CTGATAAAATGAATAATGGGTAAATATGTATGCCACACCCAGTACGTCGGTGAAATATATTTTCATAGAAAACTTTTTATGTTCTGAGAAAATGAATAATGGCTGAATATTTGTTCAAGCCTTTATCTTGCAGGTGGACACAAAGTCTGACAAAGAAAAAGGAAATAAAAACAAACAAAAGAAAAGATGGAAAAAAAAAATGATTGAAAAAAGAATTTTTTTTTTTTTTAAATTTAAAAAGAAAATGAATGAAAAGTAAAAGTAGAAAGAAAAAAACATAAAAAACAAAAGAAAAAACGAAAAAAGGGATGATACATGCATTGTAAATCCTCTTTCTGCCCACTATTCTGCAATGACTTTGCTCGCTTAAATTTCCAAGAAAATAAAGTTCCTCTGTATATGAAAATCCAGTGGAAAAATAGATTTTTGATTAAAAATACTTCATCTAATCATGTCTTGATCCTGATGATGTTCAGTTGACAAAACTGCAGGGAAGAATCTGGAATGTTATTAATCCTGACCTGGTATCTCAATGTCAGTCATTTTCCCACTGTTGTAACATGGCTTCTCTGTGCCTTTTCTGTACATACTTTCTTTTAGAAAGTCAACATGAAAATAACCATATTGCATTTTTTTTTTTTTTTAACTCTAATTGATATACAAGGGTAAGTCAAAAATTATCCACACTCTTGTTATAACATATCTTTAGACAAGAGTACAGATAATTTTTGACTTTCCCTCGTGATATACAAAATCCAAACAATCTGCAATGTTAATGGTCCTAACCTGGCATCTTGGTTTCAGTTGCTTTTCCACTGCCTTAACGTAGCAATAGTTAGCACTGTTCCGTTTAACTCCTTCATTGACTTTGAATGGTCTAATAATGGTTTAGTCAACAATTCCAGCCCATATCATAACACTACTGCCTCCTTGTTGCTTTCTTTTAGCCACATGAATGTCTGAATTGGATAAAATCCATCATTTGGCTCATCCATCAAGTCCATCAAATGTCACTTGAGATTTTTCCATGATAATTACTTTAGAAAAGTCAATTTTCATGTATTTCTTGGCTCAATTTTGATGCATTAAAATATGGGCTTTAGTGAGAGGAGGTTGCCTCAGAGGTTTTTTTTTTTCCAGATCCCAATTCACAAAGTATTCTACACCTTTTGTCCTTCTTCACTCCCTCAATTCCAGCCTTTTCAAAGAACTGAGTGCTGGTCAAAAGTCATTGTTTTACTATAACTTGCTTTAGATTATCTTCATCTCAAAGAAGCAAGTTCTTAAAGCCTTTTCCTTTGCTTCAATTTCTCTTTCTCATTCGATGATCTCTGTAAAGTTCCTTTGAGATCGCCAACGTGGACATTTCCTCAACTCAATAACTTTGTTATTTTTTGTTTTTCAGCAGTCATTAGATCCTTCCCTTTAACCATGTTTCAACATATATCATGGACAAAGGGTCACCTCGAGGTGGTGTAATGGTTAGCAAGCTTGTCTTGCTAGAACAATTACAACCGAGTAGTGAGTTCAATTTCACTGGGTGCTCCGTACTTTTGACCTTGTGCCACATCTGAGCTACGCTTGGAAAATCACTATATTATGGACAAAGAGAAAAAATTATTTGATTTCACAGGTCTTAAGCTAATATTAGTTTAATCTGCATATTCAATCAGTCCATTTTTGTAAATTCCAAATATCTCAAAACTAACCATTAAAAATGTCAGAAAATTTAGTTAAATATTTTACTAAGAGTGCAAATGGATGAGTTTAAATTTGGCAAATATTGATTCAGAACTTTTTGAATTATTGAGGTTTTATTTGATTTGCATAATAACTTCAGACAGGTTGTAGTTTAGAAATCATTGCAGAAACCATGGACAGAATTAGGTGAATCTCACTCAGTGAAAACTATTTTAGGGAAAAATTAGGCAAACGAATCAAGAGTGGATTTGGAAGAGAATTTCTGAGCAAAGCACTGCTGCTTTATCTGCAGTAAATGACAAGACTTCAGATTGATTGAAGAGAGGAAGGACTGAGAATTTGCTCTTGATCGGTACACTTTGGTAGAGCCGTCAGTAATCTCTAGAAACAAACTAATGAGAGGCTATACAGTGTCACAGTCTATCAGCAAATATACTCTTCTCTTTTTTTTTAAAGTTATTTTACTATTTGACATATTAAAATTAGACACTGAATAATTAAATACAGAGCGCAAAAAAAAATATATACACACTTCAAAAAAGGAAAATCTTGTCTTTTGTAGTTTTATCAAATTGTGATAAAACATTAGTGAAGCATATTTGACAGATGGCATTACATTGGCGGGCCCTTAGTAGTTTGCCATACTAATAAACGACTACAAGCTAAAGGCCACCATTTTGAGCATCTCTTGTGATTGTAGAGTCCACAGGTAACTGGTATTAATTTCATGATGTTTGAATAAATTTAGTATTACAATACTGATACAAGTCTTTTCCTTTCCTGCAGTCTGTATACATTTCTTTTCTCTTCTTTTTTTTTTTTTTTTTTTTTTTTTTTTTTTTTTTTTTTTTGTTGAAAAACCTCAATTGAATATGTGTGTAATTCTCAGGGTAAGTTCTTTGATTATAAAAAGCCAAATCTTTAAAAAAAAAAAAAAAAAAAATTAATCAATTCACCCCAAGCAAGGTGATAATGCTACTAAGATGCAAGGGGCTAATGGGAGTGAAAGAGAAGGAACTAGAAACCCAATTCTAAATAGGAAACAAGGGATAAACCTCTACTCCTCTATTCACCCCAAGCAAGGTGATAATGTCACTAAGATGCAAGGGGCTACTGGGAGTGAAAGAGAATGAAAAAGACTTTAGAAGGAACCAGAAACCCAATCCTAAACAGGAAACAAGGGATAAACCCCTACTCCTCTATTCACCCCAAGCAAGGTGATAATGCCACTAAGATGCAAGAGGCTACTGGGATTGATAAGAATAAGAAAAGACTTAGAAGGAACCAGAAACCCAATCCTAAACAGGAAACAAGGGATAAACCTCTACTCCTCTATTCACCCCAAGCAAGGTGATAATGCCACTAAGATGCAAGAGGCTACTGGGAGTGAAAGAGAATGAAAAAGACTTTAGAAGGAACCAGAAACCCAATCCTAAGCAGGAAACAAGGATAAACCTCTACCCCCTCTATTCACCCCAAGCAAGGGAACCAGAAACCCAATAATGCCACTAAGATGCAAGAGGCTACTGGGAGTGAAAGAGAATGAAAAAGACTTTAGAAGGAACCAGAAACCCAATCCTAAGCAGGCAACAAGGGATAAACCTCTCCTCTTGTTGGATGGTAGCAACTGTTAGGGTCCCAGCTATGGGCAAATAGTAACCCCCACCCTACCAAAGAAAGACAAAACACTATGAAAGTTTAAAAATACCAGCAATACTTATTTATAGTAAAATTACCAACAATACATTTTATCTGTAGTTGAAACCATAACATTGTGTTCAAGATATTTAGATTTTGGCATTAAATGACTCATACAGATTGATAGGCTGCTAAACAAAATCAACCAACATGAAAGAACTCTTTTATGATATTAATCTATATAATATCCTACAATTTCTTAAAGAAAATCAAACTGTATTCCAAAATATAACTACAACATAAAACCCATTTCACTGCCTCGAGTGATCATGTCCACACAAATATCTATAAGAACAAAAGCTGAGTATCGTCTACCATGTGTTCAATTGTGAAAGCATAATAACATTTTTATTACTACAAAGCTCCCCCTAAATTAAATTTCAGCATTAAATTGCACATAAGGTGTTGATATGCCATTAAAAAAAACAAACCTTTTCAAACTGAAACCATTGTTTCTGATATCTGAGCAGCTGCAGACATACTGTTTAATTTGTCAGTTATTTGGTCTGAAGAAGTCTTTCTGAATGACGAAACCTCTCATCGCCAACACCAGAGTCAGGTGTTTGGATAATGTGTATCTCTGGAGTACGGATTCTAAGCTCACCTGTAGTGTTCGAGCTCCCTGGAGATTTTGAATCTGGCCAAAGAAAGGATGACGTCTTTCGAACATGCAAGGGTTTTGACAATGACCAACAATACATTTTATCTGTAGTTGAAATCATAACAATAACATTGTGTTCAAGATATTTAGATTTCAGCATTAAATAACTCATACAGGTTGATATGCTGCTAAACAAAATCAACTAACCAACTTTACTTCTGGCCAAAAGACTTGGGCGTTATGTGAACCGGACGAAAGAAAATGAGAAAGTCTTTAGAATGAACTGGAAACCCAATCCTAAACAGGAAACAAGGGATAAACCTCTACTCCTCTATTCATCCCAAGTATGGTGATAATTCCACTAAGATGCAAGGGGCTACTGGGAGTGAAAGAGAATGAAAAAGACTTTAGAAGGAACCAGAAATCCAATCCTAAACAGGAATGTAGGGATAAACCTCTACTCCTCTATTCACCCCAAGCCAGGTGATAATGTCACTGAGATGCAAGGGGCTACTGGGAGTGAAAGAGAATGAAAAAGACTTTAGAAGGAACCAGAAACCGAATCCTAAACAGGAATCAAGGGATGAAAATCTATTCCTGTTCAAAAGACCGGGGATGAGTGTAAAACCAAACGAAAGGCGAACCTAGCTACTCCCGTTGAGGAAAGGAATGGAAAAATCGCGTTCGAAGTTTAAAGGAAAAAACGTAAAATATAACAAAAGATCAAGTTTTCGAAGATGAAAGACAGTTAAGAGACTAGGGAGGAAGTGAAAGGTTGTAAAGAAAAGAAAATTCAAGAGTTAAAAAAAACTAGAAAAATATTTTTTTTTTTTTAAAGTTAAAAACGGGCGAAGGGGTAAAAAAAAAGACGGTAAGGAAAAGGTTAAAAACTAGCAAAAGATTATGAAAATTAAAAATCTAGCAAGAGCGAAAAGAGAAAGAAAGAGTAAAATATTTGAGTAGGACAAAAGGCGAAAAAAAAAAAAGAAAGGGTTAAAAACTAGAGAAAGAGTAAAAGTAAATAAATAAAAGAAAGAGTTATAAACTCGCGAGTGGGTAAGAGACAATAAAGAAAGAAAGAAAGAAAGTTAAAAACTAAGAGAGAGTAAGAGGCGATAAAGAAAGAACGTTAAAAACTGGCGGGAGAGTAAGAGACGATAAGGAAAGAAATAGTTATAAACTGGCGAGTGGGTAAGAGACAATAAAGATAGAGTTAAAAACTAACGGTAGAGTAAGATACGATGAAGAAAGAAAGAGTTATAATAAATAGGAGAGAGTAAGAGACGAGAAAGAGTTATAAACTGGCAAGTGAGTAAGAAGAGACAATAAAGAAAGAAAGAGAAAACTAGAGGGAGAGTAAGAAATGATAAATAGAAAAAAAGAAAGAAAGAGTTATAAACTAGTGGGAGAATAAAAAAGAAAGAAAGTGTTAAAAACTGACGAGAGTAAAAGACAATAAAGAAAGAAAGAGTTAAAAACTAGCGGGAGAGTAAAAGAGCGTAAAAGAAAGTGTCTGGCCTTCCCACGTCCCGACACTCTCATCTCTCTCCTTCCACCAACCCTTCTTCCTCACTTGCCAGAATTAAGTGAATGAGAGACCAGAAAAAGAAAGAAAAACATTCCCTTAAATGCTTAACCTGGGAAAAGAAAGAAGTAAAGAAAAGGAAAAAAAATGAAGAAAGAGTGGCAGAGAATGAAAATAGCTGTTACTTGTGAAGCGCCGACCACTCTCTAACGTCACTTCTACTCTCTCTACACCCTATACCTAAATGTTTGTGTGTGTGAAATCTTATTTTGACGTAGGTTGTTATAGCAGGTTGTCCCTGACCTCATAAAAACCACACACGTGCCGCCTTGTATAACAAGGAATATATATATATATATATATATATATATATATATATATATATATATATATATATATATCACACAGATATGTGCATGTGAAAATATGAGATCAAGGCTGGCCGTTTGCGACCGCATTCGTTACTAATATAAAATTGGTTAGCTAAGCAGTATCGGTAAGGTGGAAGGTAGGTACAGGCTTGGTGCTGCCTGCTACCAAGGCTGCTTCTTCGTGTTGAAAGCTGGTGTGTGTCGGGGTAAGTGTGTGTGTGTACGCGCGCACGCGCTCTACAGGGAAGTGACGGCGTTGGTGAGGAGGAGTCTGCGGACGACATTAACTCGGGTAGTATTTAACATAAGCAGGTTTAATCGAGGTTAGCGAATTTTTCGGAGGTTTCTCCCACTCTCACTCTCACACACACATTCTCTCTCTCTCACACACACATTCTCTCTCTCTCTCTCTCTCTCTCTGCTTGCGTGCATTCATGAGAATTTTTTTTCTATTAGTGTGGGTGTGCGCGTTTGTCATTTTTTTTATTCGCCTGTATAGGCGAAGTCCACACGAAAGGGTTGCTACAACAAAGTACAGCAAAAGGCCCCAAGTAAGGATCAAAGTTTAAAACTGTCCCTACTTCACGACGAGGTTCCGTAGTCTAAGAAGATATTGTTTTTTTTTACGTCCATTACAAGTCCCAAGTATCACTCAAGGTCGAGACTTAGTTGTTTTAGTTTTATGGACGTAAGAATTGTAGATTACGAGAATAATTGTTGACTGTAGCCTTGTAGTGATCGGGGAAGCATCCTCTCAGGAATCTGTTGCACAAAGCGGCGACTCTTGGGAAGAAGTCGTCCGAACGGAACTTCCTCTTTACAAATGGAATACAAAGGTAACGAGGATGATTCGACCCTGTGTACGTGGCATGGTAGGTCTTAGCTGTAAAAGTCTGAACTGGTGAAACAAACAAAAGGTGCTATAATCACTATACTAGTTAAAAAAAAACAAAACGTGACCACCCTCCACTTGATACTTATCAATACTAGTTTACACATATCATCAAAAATAATGGCATATATTAAGTATTAAAATACTTAAAGTCTTAAAATGCATTTTTCAGTTATATTAAGATAAAATAAGGGGAATCAGTTTATTACTTAATAACAAAAATGATCCCCCATTTTATGTCCAGCAGTATTTTATTAACACTAGGATGGCCGAGGTGTCGTTTTCGACACCTTCAAATTTCCAACACTATGGAATACTATGGAAGAATTACTATGGAATAACTAGTTTTGGTTCGATACTGAGGCTTATGGACAATTATTGAATTTTAGCAAAAATGCTTAACAGACGTAATTCTTTAAAAAATATTCAGTGGAATAGCTGATATTTGAGGTTTTACCTTGAATGGCCGAGGTGTCGTTTTTGACACCTAGGCTATTTATAGGGTAAATGGATTGAAACATTTCTCACAAGCAATAATACTTGTGTTTATGTCCCCTATCTATCTATACACACACAGGTATAATTTATATATATATATATATATATATATAATCACTTTCTTTCAGTATGAAGTATAATACTAATTTCTTTTCAAACTTGTCATTCCTGACTTGAATATTGAATATATTAAAGATGGCTGCTTCACGGCGTAATGTAAATAAAGATGTCAAAGGAGCTGGCCATCCTAATGTTAATACTAGTTTACCTATACCATAAAAAAATGATGGTATATTTTGTTAAGTCCTTACTAGTATTAAAACACATTTTCAGTTATATTAGGATAAATTCTGGGGAGATCAGTTTATTACTTAATAACAATAGAAAACTGATCTCCTGGTTTTCTATTAATAGGCTTACGGCGCATCTCGTTGAAACACCCATTTCCGTACGATCACCGAAGTTAAGCAACGTCGAGCTTGATCAATACCTAGATGGGTGACTGCTGGGGAATATCAGGTGCTGTATGCTTGGGTGTACGGATGGTGTAATAGATAATGGCTCGGAATTGTGAATCAGAGAGCCGAGTTCCAATTCCCGTTGGGTTCGTTATATTCACTTACGCGCAAATAAAATTGGGAAAGGTATAAATTCACCTCTACCCCTCCAGCTATGGATTAATTAGTGAGATTTAGTATCACTAAATTGTTATTATTCCCAAAACAGAATTCTTAGATTATTCGAACAGTGGATAAAGGCGTTAGTTAGATCCAGTGACAGGACCCAAAGAGTGTGAGTTCAATACCCGGTTAAGGCAGTGGAGAACCTTCATAGGGAAATTAACAGGAGATAACTAATAACTGACATCCATTAAACATGGCACGTGGAACTAGAACAGTCTACCCCAGTGAGCGAAATAAAGGGTTCAGTTCGACATTCCAACCACCTGAAGAAGGCCGGAGCGTACAACGGCCGAAACGTTGTAATAAATATGGCGACAAAGATGAGGAAAATAGTCCGAATAATGTAAATAATGTACATAATACCTCATCTCAGAAATATAGAAAGAATTCTTACAATCTAAAAATATTTCCTGTCTTTAAATAACCTGAATGGGTTGATAAACCGTCGAAAACGAATCAATCAAACAATCGTATTAATTCTAGTTTACACATGCCATAAGACTGATATATATATATATATATATATATATATATATATATATATATATATATATATATTTTCTTTATGTTTACATTGGATACGCATTGAGCAGATATGAATGAACGAGAGAAAATCATGGAAAATTGTAGTTTAAAAACAGTAAAATCAACCTTGCTAACCGAACGCTCCTCTGTGGCCCAAACGGTTAAGGCACGTCAGGCTATATGACGGTTCCGTATAGGATACAGGTTCGATTCCTGTCGGAGGACGCATTTTTTCTATGAAAATTTCTCAGACATTCAGGCCGGTAAATGTTATTAATACTGTTTATTATAAACAGAGAACTTGCTTAAATATTTGTATCTATAAAAGAATGTGTATATATATATATATATATATATATATATATATATATATATATATATATATATATATTTGGTTGGATAGATATTGAGCGCTTTCTAATAAGTATGCGCATATAATATATAAATAATTATACATATTTTATTTATTTATTTATATTTATATATATATATATATATATATATATATATATATATATATATATATATTGTTCTCACCATTATTCGGTTATCACGTGTTAGCCTTAGAATACATTTTTAAATTATATTAAGACAGTAATTCTGGGGGATTAAATTGTTACTTAATAACGAAAGAAAACTGATCCCCCATTTTATGTCCAGTACAGTCTTCTTTTGATACTAATTTACCCATGCCATGAAAAATGATGGTATATTTTGTTAAGGCCTTACCGTTATTAGTTTTTTTTTTTTTTCACATGTGAACGTTAGAATCATTTTTTTTAATCGAATTCACCCCAAGTAAGGCACTAAAGCCACTAAGACACAAGAGGTTACTGAGTGTTAGAGAATTAAAATAAAAAATCGTTCCTGAGAGGTAGATCTCCGAACATAGTTAACGGCCAGCCCTCCGAGGCCCTGTCGGTCAACGCAAGCGTACTCCAGTGGTCTCTTCTCGGACCAACCCTCTTTTTGATTTGCCTAAGAATATACTCCGATCATTTGTAAACGTCTATGCCGATGATACGACGACATAAGGGCGCACCTCTAAAACTCTTGACGATCAGAGATTGGCAGCTGACCTCTCTTCCGATCTGGCACTAACTTCCCAATGGAGAAAAACTGGTTGGTTATATTCAATACCTGGAAAACTAAACTAGTTACAGTCCATCACTGCCGATCGGCCCCGAACTACAGCCAGTCACGTTAAACGGATGTCTCCGCATCCTGGGTATGACGATAAACTGCATCCGCGTCCTGGGTAAGACGATAAACTACGTCCAACAGCAAGGCCTCTGATCAGGAGGTTTTGAGGTGCGTGGAACCACCTCTTAATTGCTGGTGTTCCCACGTCCACATTGACTCGGGGTGGTAGCACCTGTTAGGGTCCCAGCTATGGGCAAATAGTTGACCCCCACAACCTGACTCAAAACACTATGAAAGTGTAAAAAAAAAATTTAATATCAGAAATACTTTTTTAAAAAATTAGTATCAGCAATAAATATTTGAAAAAAGAAAATATTACCAGAAATAAAAATCTTGTCAGCATTAAATAACCCATTGAGGTTAATTACCACAAAACAAAACAAACAAAACTATACATTTTAAAAAAAATTACCAGCTATACATTTTGGAAAAAAAGGAAATTTTGTCGGCATTAAATAACCCATTGTGGTTGATATGCCGTAAAATAAACCAAACCAAACCAAACGGATGTCTCCCTCGGGGTGGCATCGTGCCTTGAGCGACAATTAGGTCTCAAACTCACGTCTGATCTCAAGTGGAACTCGCACATAGGATCCATCGTTAAGGATCCAGGTAAAATTATCGGATTCCTTTACCTGACTCCTCATATCCTCTACCTTTACAAGAACTTGATCAGATTGAAAATGGAGTACTGTTGTTATATTTGGGCGGTAGCTGCCCAGTCCTGATTTTCCGGTCTCGAAAGGCGTTTCCTAGTCGTTGTGGGTGGCGAATTACTTTCCACCCTCCAACCTCTCTCTCCTTCACACAGCCGGGATGTGGTGAGCCCCTCACTGATCTATCGCTACTTCCATGGAAAGTGCTCGGACGAACTACATTCCTTGGTTCCGCCAGGCCCACCCTTCACAGCTGGGACCCGCCATTCCCCTTACAAAGTATCAAGCCACCCTCCGTATTGCATCGAACACTCGAACAGCTTCTTCCCACGAATCACTGCTCTGTGGAACAGATACCCAAGGGAATGTTTCCCCGATCATTACAATCTGTTCAAGTTTAGAGTTAACCGTTGTCTCCTATCCGTATAAACTGCCTCTTAATGTAACCCTTTACTTCCTGTGGCCCCGGACCTTTTATAGGATAAAACTTACTGTAGAAAAAAAAAGCATTATTGAGGAGCGAGAGCAATAGAAAAGTAATAAGGAAGACAGTAGATAACAATTAACATTGCATTTAAATTTTTGACAATCAAACTTATTTGGAAAGCATAGAGCCGGAAGAGAGTCCCATAGGCGGGAAAAGAAACTGTTAGCATAGAACTTACGGTTGCATCTAGCCAATTCAACCGTAAACAGATGGGACCTTGCTGCCAATCTAGTACTGCGCTTAAATTCATAGTCTAGGTACCATAACGAAGAGCGATATTTATTTTGTAAAATTTACAGAAATGTGGCACAAGGCCAAAAGAGGGGATGGGGAAAGGATGGTCTTCTGTCTTATAATTAAACTTAGCTAGCTACAGTCACTGACCCAAAACATACCACAGTATTCCTTACACCAAAACAACACATTCTTATATATCATTCGTACTACATTCACCATAATACCTCAGAATGTCCGTGAAGTCCTAACTAGTCCTCGTATGTACGATTCTTGTCTGTCGGGACAGGTGAATAAAACAACAATTTAAAAATCTAAACCCCAATGATATGAGATACCATAACGAAGAACTCATTCGAACAATGATCATGAAAATATTTATAGAAAAGACAAAGGGAATCAACGTTACGGTATTAGGAAAGTGATGCCAGGTCAAGACCAATAATATTGCTGATTCTTCTTTGGATTTTATCAAGAATTTCTAAATATAAAGCAAAAGCGCCGGACCATATGTGGCAGCAATATTCAGGGAGTGGATGAATAGTAAACATAAGTAAATAGTAATAGATGAATAGTAAGATAGATTCAGAAGAGAAAAATTGTCTTGCACGACACAAAGAACCAAATTTCTTAGCAGCAGACTTAGTAATGAATTCAATATAGTCTTTCCATTTCATGTCATTCGAGAAGGCTGGAGGTTAGCGTCAGCCATGCTGTCGTATGGCAAAAAGGGTACCCCCTCCTGCTTCTATCTTTATAAGACCCAGATCAGACCAGAAATGGAGTACTGCTGCCATATATGGACAGGAACTGTCAATTTTTTACTTTTTAGTCTTGATAGTGTCCAAAACAATAAAAGACTTAGTCAATACTAAACAAAATAATAAGCTAAAACCTGAAGGAAGAGTTTACACCATCGTAATAATTGTCACAAAAAACACACAGGAGAAAATCTCAAGGAATCTAAAAAGATTATATGAACAAAAAAGGGACATTTTACAAAATAATATGTCAAATGCGCTGGTTGCCCACCGTAACGAAACTGGCCACAATTTTAACATAAAAAATGCTTCTCTGACCAAAGAATAAAATAATTCACCACGACATAAATGTCTAGAGAATGCCTTAATTGCAAGGTCATCTACAGTAAATTTGTGACCTTTGCTCTTACAAATTTCACCATTCCTGGCAGATCTTCTAATATCACAGTGTGGAATACCTACTTACAAAAATGATTGAAAGAAAAAGGCTCTAAATGAATCCAGCTAGATAAAAACAAAAAAAAAGTCTAAAATTTCCAGCACCACTCGTTTGTGCGCATCCTACCAACACAACAAATTTAGTCCGATGAAGTCCTGAAGGACGAAATGCAACACAAGTAATTTTTTCTGCTTTGTCATACAATTTCCCCCAATATATATATATATATATATAAATATATATATATATATATAATCGACTCTCCCGTCGAGATTCGACGTATGAGGGTCAAGCAGATCAGTTCCAAGGAAACCGACACCGGCACATGAGATTTGATTATAGTGGTGAAGGCTTCGTGCAGGACCATCCACACTTTTTGAAAGAAAAAAAAAGTATATATATAAAAAAAGAATATATATATATATATATACTCGCACGCACATACAATTTTCCCCAATATATATATGCACACAGACACGCACTTACGAATATACATTATCATTGGAAGCCCACATAGACAAACTATAATTATCATAAACTT